TCCAACCACATGGGGTTGGAAGCATTCTATGTCTGCCAATGGCCCCCGAGGCTATTGCTCCTCGTGCCTCTGTGAGGGGGGCCAGGTTTCTGGCTTGTGGTCCCCGGTAGGCCCACAGAACTCCATACACATGACTAATGACAAAGTCTGACATTAGCATATCAGCCTGGATAGCTCCGGGGAGCTGACGGGGCTACCCCCAGAAAACAAGGGTTGAATGTAATGAAATGCCATTTTCTGGGCGAGCCTCAGAGGCTCCCTGGAGCTATCGGACTGATATACGCTATATTAGTCTGGGGCCTCAGTCAGTGGAGTTCTGCCTACCGGGGACCACAAGCCAGAACCTGGCCCCCTTCAGAGAGGCACAGGGAGCAATGGAAACCCCCATGTGTTTGGGAGCATTACATGTTTGCCACTGCCCGGGGTTAGGCACCTAGAAAGGTAGGCATAACAAAACAAACCCCACTTGGCAAGAAATTGCAACCGAAAACCAAACAGAGAAGCAGAACCCCCCCTAAAAGTTATGGAAACAAGCAAATGTCACAAACAAGTCCGCGGCTGTTGCTGACAGCCCTCGCTTGTCCGTGCAGCCCCTCCCCTTCCCGGGAGGGGGAGGAGGGGGAACCCCGGATCCTGCAATAGCTACTCACACCTCAGTTCGGAGGCTGAGCATCGAAAACAAAACCGCCGACCTGAGGGGGAGAGGGAGGGAGGGAGTGCTCCAGGAAGCCTCAGGGTCTCACCTAGAAAATGGCATTTCATTACATTCAACACTGGTTTTCTGTGGGAAGCCCCTCTTGCTCCCAGGAGCTACATAACCAAAGACAAGTAAAAGAGGGACTTGCCTGGGAGGCGGCTGCAAGGCGCACATTAACTAGAAGGTGAAACAACTGGCTGCAACCTGCAACCCAAAGCCACACATGAACAACTGGGACCCCGGAACATTTACCAAATAACAGGCGGCCAGGACCCTGTTCGACCTCAAAAACCTTCGCGCTCATATATCAGCCAAAGACATGTTACCACACATGGCAGCCAAAGCAGCATACTTACAAATGTCATGGGCACGAGGATAGACTGCAGGCTGGCTAGACCTAATAACCCTGCCGACAACCTGAGAGAACAGAACCCTGGAACAGGGAACCAGGAAAATCGGATCAACCTAAAGCGCGTTCCCGGCCACAGAAGCCGAGGTAACCCAAGTGCCCCTCCGGAAGCCTGCTGTCTTGCTCTTTGACAGAAAAGAAAGAAATGGCTGCATCAATGGGACAATACCAATGAAGCCACCTGATCACCATACAAGTGGTGATACACCCACATCAAAAGAGACCAGACGCGAAGAGAAGAGGAGTAGACCGATCTTTGGTTGCTAAAAGATTTTGCTTTGGTTGCCAGTCCTAAGCAGCCAAAGATGCCGAAAGAGTGAGAACTTGCATGTACAGCTGCACAAGACCAACATACTGAGGAAGCACAGAGGCGAACAAGTACGCATAAAGGTGCTCAAATATGATGTTCAAATAAGATGCCCTATTAGGGCACCCCTCCCCCCCCCCTCCCCCGGTAAACCTGTAGGGCGGTAGAAGTTTCTCGCCATTCGAGTGTGCGGGTCCGACAGAATCCATGCCATGCCCCCTACAAAAGGAATGGGCAGTCTGCCAGCCAGGAAGACTCCGGAACTTCCAAACACACCCAATACAGGGAAGAAGAACCTAACTTAAAGGGAACGGATCCATAACAGAGGCAGTATCCGGGTCTCGCAGGAGGTAAGCAGCAAGTGCCTTCCGAACCTGCTTAGTCCTTAAACCACGCAAAACGGGGCCGCTAAGTGAAAAATATGCAAATTATGTAAAATAACTTAAAAAAGTTAAACAAATCTCCAACTTATTGGCTTCAGCATTGTGAAACTTTAATCAAAATATTTTCAGAAATTGATTTTAAGACAAATTTATAAAAAAAACCAGCGTTGAATGTAATGAAACGCCGTTTTCTGGGTGAGCCCCGGAGGCTCCCTGGAGCTAATTGGGCGAACGTATGTTATATTAGACTGGGACATTAGCTAAGGAGTTCAGACCAACCAGGGATCAGCGCAAGAACCTATCCCCTTCAGAGAGGTTTCAGGGAACAATGGCCCTGGAAAACCCCTTTCTTGAGGTTATCTTGAGATGATTTCGGGGCTTTTTAGTGTCCCCGCGGCCCGGTCCTCGACCAGGCCTCCACCCCCAGGAAGCAGCACGTGACAGCTGGCTAACACCCAGGTACCTATTTTACTGCTAGGTAACAGGGGCATAGGATGAAAGAAACTCTGCCCATTGTTTCTCGCCGGCGCCCAGGATCGAACCCGGGACCACAGGATCACAAGTCCAGTGTGCTGTCCGCTCGGCTGACCGGCTCCCTTGCTCGGCCGACCGGCTCCCTTGTGGTTGGGGTTTTCCTTATATGCCATCGACTGAGGTTAAGCTCCCAGAAAGGAAGGCATAACAAAACAAACCCCACATGGTAAAAAACTAAAACAGAACACCGAACAGAGAGGTAGAAACTCCCTACAATCCCAAGGAAACAAGCAAACAAGCAAACATCACACTTTACTGAGGCGCCGATCGTCCGTGCAGCCCTCCTCGCCCCGAGAGGGGAAGGGGGGGCCGGACTTCACCACACTGGCTGCCTAGCATCAGTTTGGAAGTTAAGCTTCAACCAACGCGAAAAAACCGCCGACCGGTGGAAAGGAGGGTTGCCAGGGAGCCTCCGGGGTTCACCCAGAAAATGGTGTTTCACTACATTCAATGCTGGTTTTCTGTGGAAGCCCCTATGGCTCCCTGGAGCTTCATACCCAAAGAGAAGGAAAAGAAAGGGCTGACCCGGGAGGCGGCCACCACAAACTCCGCAACGCGAAGCCAAGACAACAGGCTGCAACCTGCGACCCAAGGCAACACAAGAACGCACAGGAGCAGACACATGCACAAAGAACGGGCAGCCAGGAACCTGTACGACCCCCAAATCTTCATGCCCAAAGTGAGCCCTAGACTTCACCAACATGGCAGCGAAAGCTGCAAACATCCGAACAGCTTGGGCTCAAGGATAGACTGCAGGCTGGTAGATTTAAAAACTCTGCGGATGACCTGGGACACCCGAGCCCTGAAACAGGGAACGAGGGGAACCGGATCAACCCAAAGCGCATCCCCAGTCACAGTACGCAGGTAACGGCAAAGAGCCGCAACCGGACAACACATGAAGCACCCCCATCCGAACCAAGCATCAATAACCCAAGGACCCCCCGGAAAGCAGCCGTCTCGACCGTCGCCAGGACACAGAAAGGCTGCAAATGTACAGGCCTACCACCAGTACCAAAAGAGCGGAAACCCCTGCATCGGAAGAGAGCCGGAAGCTCCCCGACCCGACCCACAGATGCCCATGCCAACAAAATATGGCCTAAGAAAAACAATCTTGAACCGAAGGGGCTACCACAAACTGAGGAGAAGAAGATAAGAAGGCACCCTGATCAAGGACCATGAAGGCTCAGGCGACGCATGAGCAAGCAGGAGGTGAAACAAAACACGAGAAAGCGTATGGAATGGGGCGGATGTGACGTCCACCCCGAACACAAGCCAGAGCGGCTCCACCAGCGCCACACGATACGAGGAGACAGTAAGAAGCATCAAATAACAGTCCTGAAACCCAAGAAAGGACAAGACAACCCGATGCGAGAGAGAAGATAACCTACGAAGAGCAAGAAAATGGTGAATAGAAACACTAGGAACATCATACTGTCGCTGAGACGAAGCTCGCAGGTGGGACACCATCAACGAAGCCACCTGATCACCATAGAGATGGTGATACACCCGCATCAAGCAAAAGTGGTGACTGTCACCCTGAGACAAGGGCGCACAGCAATCTTCAAACCCACACGAGGTGGGCTGGAACTTGGAAGACACATCCATAGGTCCACCAAGCCCTGACAGGGTTTTCCAGGGCACGTAGGATGACTGCTATAGGAAGCCCGGGCAAGGTGTTGCTACCCTGTTAGACCCAAAGCTAACAAGGGGGATGATCAAATCACTGAAACCCATACGGGGGCCAAGTAAAAGACCACCAAAATATTATAAGTGGACCTATAGCCACACCAGGCAGACTCCCACCAGGCAAACAAAAAGTAAAAGAAAAAACGCAAAAGTACCACATCTCCGGAGGAAACAGGAACCGGTCACTGCATAGGTAAGCTGGCTGTGTAACACCGTTGCCCCAACCAGCAACACTACCACTCCCTACCCAAGGCCAAACAAGAACCACAAAACCCCAGCTGGCCCCAAGGGCAGGGTAAAGGCCAAGCAGCAAAAATCCTACAAAAATAGCGTCCTGAAAGCACCGGGGAAGATAACTCTGACAAGCGGCACAGCAGCGAGGTGTAATGTTTGCTTGTTTCCTTGGAAATTGAGGGAGTTCTGCCTCTATGATCGTTTTTCGGTTGAAATTTTCTTACCATGTGGAGTCTGTTTTCCTATGCCTCTCTTTCTGGGTACCTAACCCTGGTCGATGGCAGATAAGGAAAACCCCAAACCTCCGGGTTTTTTTCCCCCAGGGTCAGTGCTCCCTGTGCCTCTTTGAGGGGGTCAGGTTCTGGCTTGTGGTGCCCGGTAGGCTGATCTCCATTGACTAATGCCCTGGTCTAATGTATCACATATTAGCCCAATAGGGCCTCGTAGCCTGGTGGATAGCGCGCAGGACTCGTAATTCTGTGGCGCGGGTTCGATTCCCGCACGAGGCAGAAACAAATGGGCAAAGTTTCTTTCACCCTAAATGCCCCTGTTACCTAGCAGTAAATAGGTACCTGGGAGTTAGTCAGCTGTCACGGGCTGCTTCCTGGGGGTGGAGGCCTGGTCGAGGACCGGGCCGCGGGGACACTAAAGCCCCGAAATCATCTCAAGAAGAATCTCAAGATAACCAATAGCTCCAAGGGAGCCGAAGAGACTCCCCCACAGAAAACTAATGATTTCGAACAAACTTACTGTCACAGTCTCTCCATGACCAACTTTAATAACCGAGTCACCACCCTCATGCCTAATGGACTCTTTGAAGTCTTGTATATCTCGTCTTGTCCACATGGAAGCAGGTGCAATATTTTGGCACGAATCTGAAATACAAAAATATTGCTGAAAATTATTACCCAGTATACATGAAAACACATTATCCTATGATAAGGCCCTAAAGCAGAGAATTTTTATTTTGAAAGCTCTATTTAATTTATTACCAGAATTAAATGTATTTAAAGCAAGAAACAAATTGAAATTCCAAACAAATAATTAATCCCCCATTTTAGACAATCTATTCATCTTCCAACACTTCCTATACACAATATCAGAGGTACCTAACCCATACCACTATATACTGATTATGGCATCTGTGGAGACAAAGACAATAGTGGAAAGGGTCATTAACACTCTCCCACTAAAACCAGAAGGCCCATTGGCACAAACAATGAAAACTGCCCAAAGGTGATGGAAAAGGGGGTCAAGGGAAGCAGGAGTTAAGATTGTAATAAGATTATAATATAAAATTGCCTGTTGGCAATTTTAACTACAGGGATATGGAAATGGGTAATAAAGAACACCCACTGGAGTGATGAAACCTTGACAGTAAAATTGCTGCACTTCAGACAATAACTCTTTGAGGCAACATATCACAGAACCAATGAGAGGCAGAGGACTTACCAGCAACACTAGACTTGGTGCTTGCCCAAAATGAGTCAGATATCAAGAAGATATAAGAGTTGCCCCTAGGTGCCAGTGACCATTGCATTTCATGGTTTGATTACATAGTTAAGCTAAACGAGAGGGGGTAGTACACACCTAGAAATTGGTTGAGGAATGCTTGAGAATACCAACAAAGGGACTACAAGCAGGCAAAGGCGAGTTTAACCTTTGGAAGTTTAATAGGAGGAAGTTTAACCACCGTGCTGCACCGAGTTTATTGTGAAGTTCCCCTTTTGCGCATGAAATAAAGTGTTCCCAAAAAATTATTTTTTCTTCATAAAATTTTAAATTCACTTCCCTGAACATGTCTATGTAAAAATAAATACCAAATTCCCCATACTTTGGCTGTGGGGGACGTGGACAAGGTGCGCTGTGATGTCATCAGGGCCAGACATGGTCACATGGGCCATTCAAGCACCGGGTGTTGCCACAAATATATTTTCAATTATTTGTTCTATGTATTTCCAATGTGGTTTTATTTGTTGTTTTTTTCGTATATGATACATATTTTTGTCCTTTACAATATGTATACAGTAGAACGTTCATAACTGGTCTATGGAACTGTGATACATGTGTCAGTAATGTGTCCACAATAAATGTTTATTGTCGCAATATTACTTGTTAAAAAGTCACTAAAATGACAATATATACAGTTTCACACACTATTTACACAGTAACACACTGTATTACACACTCAGTACTTCGGAAGTGAGTAATAATCAACGAAGTAGTCCATGGTGCACAGTGCAACTTCGCTCTCGTTGCACCAGGTACTGATAAATTTTCGCTTCCCATTTCTTCATTTTGTGTGCTTTCACATAACACACTCACATACACCCTTGGCTTTAGTACTTGAAGGTTTTATGTAGCCAAGCTTGTATAGCATTAGGTAGTATTGAAAAGATTATAGGAAAAGATCAATTTGTAAGGTAGTCTTGAAAAGATCGCTTTGTATGGTCCCACACAGGAAGAGATTCAGCTTGCCTCAAAGAGTGTCCGTCAGTCTGGAAGAGATTCAGGTATTCTTGAAAATATCTATGGAAAACACCACCATGGAAGCCGCTAACACTGTTCATCTAAGCTGCTTGTATCAGATGCATCATCACTGAATGCAAAAAATGATTCATCTATGTATCATCTAAATAAATTGGAGATAGCATAGGATTGTAGGGGTGACGCTCAGAGCTACAACTGGATACGCTTGCTGTATCGTTATCTTGAGGTTATCTTGAGATGATTTCGGGGCTTTAGTGTCCCCGCAGCCCGGTCCTCGACCAGGCCTCCACCCCCAGGAAGCAGCCCGTGACAGCTGACTAACACCCAGGTACCTATTTTACTGCTAGGTAACAGGGGCATAGGGTGAAAGAAACTCTGCCCATTGTTTCTCGCCGGTGCCCAGGATCGAACTCGGGACCACAGGATCACAAGTCCAGTGTGCTGTCTGCTCGGCCAACCGGCTCCCGTTCCCGCTCTCGTCCTCATAGGTGTTGTATCACTTGCATTCGACCTTTGTGTTAGGTCCTTATTGCGCCTAGCTTCACCAATATTATGACCCTTATGTTCTTCAAACAATAAGGTTTGAATTTCACCGAAAGAGCTTTATCTTCAACACGCGTCAGACAGGTGTTTGGGAGCCAGAGGCGCGTTCTGCACCCATGGTTGCTCATTCAGTACTAACCCAGCCAGCAGCCCTAGGGCATTCTGGGAATTTTTTCCAAGATGGCTGCCTCTCACTGGAGGTCCTAAGAGTCCATTTCGTACACAACCAACCTTGCACACATTTAGAATGGGTACGGAAAAATCAAAAAGTGTTTTCTCGGTTGGCGCAGTTTCCCGCTGACCGAGAATACTCGGCTGGCGCAGTTAAGTGGTTAATAAGCCCAAACCCAGAGGTTTAATAGAAGAATGAATTAGAGGGCAATTTGATGAACAAGACAATTGAACTCATGGCCCATAAATGAGTAGGTGCCACAGAACAGTTCATCCCACTAGCGAGGAAAGTTCACAAGAAAAATAAGGCTATCCCTTAATTCAATGGGCTGTGAAAGAAAGAAAGAAAGAAAGAAAGAAAGAAAGAAAGAAAGAAAGAAAGAAAGAAAGAAAGAAAGAAAGAAAGAAAGAAAGAAAGAAAGAAAGAAAGAAAGAAAGAAAGAAAGAAAGAAAGAAAGAAGGAAAGAAAGAAAGAAAGAAAGAAAGAAAGAAAGAAAGAAAGAAAGAAAAAGAAAGAAAGAAAGAAAAAGAAAGAAAGAAAAAGAAAGAAAAAGAAAGAAAGAAAAGAAAGAAAGAAAAAGAAAGAAAGAAAGAAAGAAAGAAAGAAAGAAAGAAAGAAAGAAAAAGAAAGAAAGAAAAAGAAAGAAAGAAAGAAAAAGAAAGAAAGAAAAAGAAAGAAAAAGAAAGAAAGAAAAAGAAAGAAAGAAAAAGAAAGAAAGAAAGAAAGAAAGAAAGAAAGAAAGAAAAAGAAAGAAAGAAAAAGAAAGAAAAAAAGAAAGAAAGAAAAAGAAAGAAAGACAGAAAGAAAGAAAAAGAAAGAAAGAAAGAAAGAAAGAAAGAAAGACAGACAGACAGACAGACAGACAGACAGACAGACAGACAGACAGACAGACACAGACAGACAGACAGACAGACAGACAGACAGACAGAAAGAAAGAAAGAAAGAAAGAAAGAAAGAAAGAAAGAAAGAAAGAAAGAAAGAAAGAAAAAGAAAGAAAGAAAGAAAGAAAGAAAGAAAGAAAGAAAGAAAGAAAGAAAGAAAGAAAGAAAGCATGAAAAGTGCTCAGTACTGAGCATAGAATTCAAAGCAGAGAACTTCAGCTGTGTTTTACCTTCATCCTCAGAGTCCTCACCGCCATCAGACTCACGACCATTTTCTGCAGGAACGGGACTTTCCTCTCCCCCATCTGTCAGACTTTCATGGCCAGGCTGAAGATGAAAATATTTTGAAACTCATTAATGCTAGATAAATCTACATGTTTCCTTCATTGCATTTTCACCTGTATTGGAAGCTCAAGTAACAATACAAATTTTAATAATAATAATTTGTAATAATGAATCTATATCTGGTACAAGTTTATACAAAACAATTTCAATGCTGTGTCCATTTCTAAGGCATCTTCCAGCAAGCACTTCAGCACATGTGTCTACACTCAGTGATATCTTTTCATTACAAATTGGCTCCATATTTTTTAATGTATTTGCTTTCATATATATATTTATGATATATATATATTTTGGCACAGAGCCATTAAACCTCCAGTTGTTTAATTTACCATGTCAATCTTTTCTTTCATATTTACCTAACTATATATTTCTTTTTCGAATGGCTTATTTATGGCAAGCATGGGTGTACATTGGAGCCTAGTACAAGACACCAAATTACACACACAAATTGTGCGCTTATTTATGGCACACAATCCACCCAATTCTATGGACTGAATTGGGTGGAGCTTGCCAGGCAGCAAGTACCAAGGAAAAAACACCAAAGGGGTACTCAATGGGACTGAGAACAGCCACAGAACATAATCCCTAGGAAGGGAAAATTAATGATGAGTTAATTGCTCCAGTGCCTCACAAACAATCAGCGTTGAATGTAATGAAACGCCATTTTCTGGGTGAGTGCCGGAGGCTTCCCGGAGCTATCCAGGCTGATATGTATATCCCTAAACTTTGACATCAGTCAGCGTGAATGAAGTTCTAGACCTACCGAGGACCCCGGCCAGAACCTGGCCCCCTCAGAGAGGCACGAGAAGCAATGGCCTATAGAAATGCACATAGGATTTGGAGCATTCTATATCTGCCATCGACAGGGACAGTCACCCAGAAAGGTAAGCCCCTAAAAACAAACCGCTATTCTGGTTAAAACGACTAAAATAGACAAACTAGTGGACAGAATTCCCCAAATAAAAATGAGCATGACGTAACACGAATTGTGCCGCATGTCTGCGCAGCTCCCCCCTCCCCAGGAGGGGGAAGGGGGAGCCCCAAACCCCCACACCAACGATCCACCCACCAGTTCTTCGGCTGGATATCAGAAACACGCAAAAAAACGCCAACCAGAAAGAGGGAGGGTTGCCGGGGAGCCTCCAGGACTCCCCCAGATAATGGCTTTTCATTACATTCAACGCTGGTTTTCTGGAGGGGAACCCTTTTGGCTCCCCGGAGCTACTTCACGAAAGATGAAAACCATAGAGGACTTACCCGAGAGGCGGTCAGTGCTCGAACCGCAACTCAAAGTCGAGATAACAGGCTGCAACCGCCAACCCAAAGCGACACAGAGCCGTCTAGGCCTAGGAACATTAACAAGGTAGCGTGCAGCCAGGACCCTGTTTGACCGCCAAAAACTCCGTGCCCGAACATCTGCTCAGGACATGGTACCGAAAACGGCAGCAAGCGCAGCAAACTTACGAACGTCATGGGCACGGGAATAGACTGCAGGCTGGCTGGACCGAAAAACCCTGCGGACGACCAGCGAGACCCAAACCCGAGAACAGGGAAGAAAGGAAACTGGATCAACCAGAAGCGCATCCCCGGCCACAAAAGCCGTGGTGCACAAATAAAGGCGGAGAGCCGCAACCCACTGGTCAAACCACTGTGCTACGGCTAGAGGAACTGACTCGAATGCCTCCGTCGTCACCCCGGAAGGGGCAGCCCCCAAAACTGCCTGAGTCTCAGAAATCTCTAAACCTTGCCCCAATTCCAAAGCCCTCAGACGTTTCAGAATCGAAAGCAGGGGGGGGGTACCAGAATGAACCACAGCAGGGGAAGAACAAGTGGGTGAACCCACTGAACCAAGGCCAAAGTGACCAACACCCCCAAGTCCAGGTCCATATAGGCAAAGCGGGGCAGCCTCGGAGCATCTGGGGAAGATTCCAACTTAGCACATTGCAGCAACCTATACCTAGCATGCAATTCCCGAGCCACCTGCACCCGAATAATGTCATCAGTAGATTGGATGAATTGAGTCACAAACAAGCAACAATGCTCGCAGGACTCTGAGTCGAAGGTGTCACCAACCTAACAGGCAGCATGACGGAGGCAAAAACAATAAGCGTCGCCCTGAGACAAAGGGACAGAGCAACCCTCAAACTCGCACAAGGCAGGAGGGGGGCCCCAGAAGTTGCATCTATTGGACCCCGTGCGCCCCTGCAGGGCTTCCCAGGGCCCCTAGAATGGTATCGCTAAGGGTAAGCCCAGGCAGGCTACTACTAACCGGCGCCCAAGAGTACCAAACAAACTGCTAAAGCTGAACCCCCGAGACGTGTCCACTCACCCAAGATGTGTTCACTCACGGGGTCCAAGCAGGGGGTACCACCAAACAACAGAGGTCAAAACCCTAATATAGTATAACAGGGGCCAAGGAACACCAAGGCAGACCCCCCCCACCACCAGGCAAAAACAAAAATACTGTAAAAGAAAAATTCTGCAAGAGGACAATGTACCCAGGAGCCAGGAGGAACAGAGCCGGCCACTGTTATAGGTGAAAACTAGCTGCACAATACCCTGCGCCCCTACCAATGCAAAAACTACCTCTTACCCCAAGGTAACAAGAGGGAAAACCCCCCAACACACTTGAGGCAGTCAATCACCGAGCAGCAAAAGACCAACAGAGGTAGACCCAAGGTGATTTGTGGAAGATAACTCCAAGCCCCATGGGCGGTACTTACGCCCATGTCACTCAGGGAAGGGAACCCTAAGCACACGCAGCCCGAGTACCTGTGAATAATACTCCCAGCTCGCATGCCACCGTAAGAGCAGTACTGGACACAAGGCACAGCACAACAAAAAGAAACTGGAGCTGGAGCCACACGACCATGCCAGAATCATATCGGCTGAAGAACTGCTGGGTGGATCGCCGGTGCAGGGGGTCTGGGGCTCCCCCCTTCCCCCTCCTGGGGTGGGGGGGGAACTTCGCAGACATGCGGCACAGCTCGTGTGACTTCATGCTCATTTGCTCGTTTTCATTTGGAGAGTTCTGTACTCTAGTTTCTCTATTTTAGTCGTTTTAAATTGAACAGGAGTTTGTTTTGAGGTGCTTACCTTTCTGGGTGCCTGTCCTGGTCGATGGTAGATATAGAATTCCAATTCTAAATTGCTGACGACACAACACAAACCAATTCTATTTGTTGACGACACAACCTTCATTTACTCCAGTCCTGACCCCCTTGCTCTAAATGTCACAGTGAATACTGAGCTAAATAAAGTCCATCTTTGGCTAACTGCCAACAAACTCACCCTCAACACTGACAAAACTTTCTATATTTTGTTTGGCAATAAATCCTCAAATCAAATAAATCTCAGGATAAACAATACCCAAATTTGTAACAAAGTAGATGGCAAATTCCTTGGCATTCTCATTGACCACAAGCTCAATTTCCAGGGACACATTCTAAATATAACAAAAAAAGTTTCAAAAACTGTTGGCATTCTTTCTAAGATCAGATATTATGTACTTCGCCCTGCCCTGGTGACGCTCTATTACTCCATCATCTATTCTTATCTCAACTATGATATTTGTGTATTTCTACTATTAGGACAATATCCAACTATGGCCCCAGACATCACTCGGTACCCCTACTCAAATCTCTGAATATGTTAGATATAAGTCACTGCACAGCCTCTCATGTGTATTATATATATATATAAAATGCTGAACTGTAATGTCAATCCTGACCTTAAAAGTTTCCTTGAAGATTTTAACAGAACCCCATGAGCAACACACCAGAAACATATACCTTTTTGAAATTCCAAGAGTATGACTTAATCAAACTAGAAATGCTCTACAAATCAAAGGACCCAGAATGTGGAATGACCTTCCCAAACATGTTAAAGACTGTACCTCTCCCAACCAGTTTAAGATAAAAACTAAGCACTACCTAATTAACTCCCTGCAACCTACCTTACCCCTAAAATGTCAACCCATGTCTGCTATTTTTAAACAATGCTGTTTGTCGACTAAATTGTATTTTTGCTATTTTTCTGCCATGTTCCCCCCTTTTTTATTTTTATATTTTCTCAACACAATTTATACTTTAATCTCAATTAGTAATAAGTTTTAGTCTTTAGTCTTTTTCCTGCCCGAAACGCTTTGCGTAATAGTGGCTTTAGGCATTGTATGTACTAGCTCTATCTATAAATCCATCAATGTTTGTATCACACCTTGTATGTATGTACTTTACCTGAATAAACATTTGAATTTGAATTTAGAATGCTCCAAATCCCATGTGCATTTCTATAGGCCATTGCTCCTTGTGCCTCTGTGAGGGGGGCCAGGTTCTGGCTCGTGGTCCCCGGTAGGCCCACAGAACTCCATACGCATGACTGATGCCAAAGTCTGACATTAGCATATCAGTCTGGATAGCTCCGGCGAGCCAACGGAGAAAAAACCCAGAAAAAATAATAATAATGTAGATGCGATGCCATAGCCTTACCACAACCCAGTGAAGAATGCAAACAAGAGAAAAGCTCTTACATACTTGGCCATTTATATCTTCCGTCAACTCTTGTTGCTGCTGTTGCTGGTGTTGCTGCTGCTGTTGCTGCTGCTGAAGGAGAAGTTGCTGTTGGTAGACTTGCTGCATGTATTGCTGATAATGCTGATCCTGCAGCTGTCTAATCAACACTGCTTGCTGAAAATGTTTAATTATTATTCAAACAAATACACCCAAAATAAATGGCAGAATTTGTTGTACCTCATCATAAACACTACATTTATAATGCCTTGTTATCCCAATGAACTTTCCTTCCTCAAGATGTTTATCTCTTGAAGAATCTCCTCTGACCTTTCAAAAGACTTTAGGCATTAGAATGAGCATTTGAAATGTTAGTTAACCCTTAACCCTCAAACCGCGCATATCATATATAAATGATATCAGTGACAAAACCGAAACCGCGCACATCATTTATATATGATTTCGTGTCTAGCGCTATAATTTAAACTCCCCGCCTGGGATAGGGGCAGCTATAGTACAGCCACGACCGATAGTTGCCAGATGCCACCTAGAAAAAAAATCCAGGCCAACATTCTTGGGTGTTACAGCGTCAGTATTGAGCAAGCCACCAAGGCTGGCGCACACAGCACGAGCTCACAGCACCGCTGTTCAGCTTGTGACCACAGCATCGCCTACAAATACCATAATATATATGATACTGCTATTATTTAGCAGTGATAGTATTACAGAAGCCCTCTGACTGTGATAAAACTGACCAGGATTCTGATAATAGCAGGATTGTGGTGATATTTAGCGCTGTGCTCCATGGAGGGAGGCGTAAGGCTGTGCGAGGGAGGGTTGTGGCGTCATCTTCTGACTGTGTGTGGCCACCATTTATTGACTGCACTCACCATACCAGCTTAGTGGTTCGATATGGTGAACACAAATGTAGATACTTATATATAATGTGTGTATAGAGTGTGATAACAGCGAGAGGAGTAGGTTGGGAGCCGCCATTTTGGTGAGGGAAGAGCGTCGTCTGCACGTCTTGGCATGGTGTTTACTGATGGCCACTATGGTCTTTGGGCACCATACCAGCTTATTTGTTCAGGTATGGTGAATAAAACAGGTAGATACTTATATATAATATGTGTATATAGCGTAATAACACCACAAAAAATATTGTTGAAGGACAAATATTAGTGCGTCTGGCCTTGAGGGCGGCCGCCGATCAGCTGACTGTGTGAGTAGCTACGTCTTTGTGGCCTTTACTCACCATACAAGCTTAGATGTACAGTTATGGTGAACAAAACATGTAAATACGTATATATAACGTCTGTGTATAGTGAATAAATACAGAAAGAGTATTGTAGGAGGTGAATGAGGGTGAGTGAGGAGGTGTTGAGGGAGGGAGTGGCAGTGAGTGTTTGGCGGTCACTCCTCGTTGCTTTTTGACTCACAAGACCAACTTAGTAGTTCGTTATGGTGTACAAAACATGCAGATACTTATATATAACCTGTGTATAAAGTGTAACAACAGCAAAACTATTTGTTTATTGTTTTATGAACATAATAATTGAATCACTAATATGTACACCATAATTTTGAGTACAGCGATGGTTCACACATTTTATAATATAAATATACCACAATTCACTGTATGGAATAATATTACTGCAAAAAAACTAAGAAAAAATCAATCAGAGACATTGAAATAATTAGGTAATAATATATTTGTGGCAACTGCCGTCTGACAGCTCGGGCGGAGTAGACCTCGTCTGGCGAAGGCTCTGCCAACGCCCCTTTTTTGCCACACTTCCCTACCCTATTGCGGCTAAAATATGCCACCTACGATTTTTGTTATTTTTTCCGTGATCAGGGAACAAAAATGAACACTTCTATAAGACGAAAGAATTTTTGGGAATTTTTTTTTTTGTTGCGCCTGTGGGTGTGAATTCCATTTGGGCCCCTAGCGGTTTGAGGGTTAAACCATGCACATTGTATATATACAATTTGAGTAACTGTTACCAAACCACACACATTGTATATATATATACGACTGAGAGTGCTGCTCATGATTTTAAAGTCCCGTGTGGAGCCTATGCCACTCTTTCTAACTTCAGAATTTCTTTTAAATAGATGGATGGCGAAATACTAAAGAAATTGTTCACGACTTTTGTTAGGTCAAAGCTAGAATATGCAGCGGTTGTGTGGTACCCATATCTTAAGAAGCACATCAACAAACTGGAAAAGGTGCAAAGACATGCTACTAAGTGGCTCCCAGAACTGAAGGGCAAGAGCTATGAGGTGAGGTTAGAGGCATTAAATATGCCAAAACTAGAAGACAGAAGAAAAAGAGGTAATATGATCACTACGTAACAAATAGCAACAGGATTTGATAAAATTGATAGGGAGGATTTCCTGAGACTTGGAATTTCAAGAACCGGAGCCGCGGGAAGATCTCGGATGCGACCACCGAGCAAGCAGAGCCAGAAACCCAAGCTGGCAAAGGAGGAGATGGAAGTAATGTCCCAACGCCAGCGAGCTTGCGAAGAGATTCGAGACTACAGGTCCAACGCAAGACTTCAGAGAAGGGACACCGCAAAATTGTGAAAACGCCAACAGGCAGGGTAAGCCAGGAAACCTGGAATCCGAACCTGACAAGAGGAGAGCCATAAGGCACAAACAAAACACACAATGTGTAGGAGAAAATGAGAAAAACAGAAAACACAAGAAAAAGACCAGAAGAACAGCCCCAGCACCAAAGGCTAGGGACAAGAGCGTAGAAGGAAGATGAGGAACGAAAAGGCAAGTAGTAAACGGGAACGAAAGGGACATGACCAACAACACACAGAGCTGCTGGTCATGTCCCAACAAGTCACCCCAACAACACATACACACAGTCGTTGACTATGTCCCAACAGAAGACTAAACGGAAAAAGGTGCAAAGATACGCCACCAGACCAGTACCCGAACCAAGGGGTATGAGCTACAAGGATATGATCACCACATTCAAGATCCTCAGAGGAATCGAAAGAGTAGAGAATGACAGACCAGGGAACCCAAGGGGCACACGCACCAGGGGACACAGGTGGAATGATAGCCCAAGGAACCATAGAGACGTTGGAAGAAGCATTTCAGCATCAGAGTATGGAATGCATGACCCCTATGCATGAGCCCAACATATATGGAAGAACTAAGCCAGGCACTGCAAGACGGGCAAGGAATAAGTGACCCAGGTAAGACCACGAAAAACGGGGCCATAACCCCCCTTGTAACAAACAACACAGACGAAACAAGAAAGGCCCCAGGAAGAAGCACAGAAGGGCCAAACAAAATGCCACAACCAATCCCCAACATGCATCCACAGTATAAAAACTGCAGCAAAATGTCACCTCATAACACCCTGACACAGTAACATTTACCCCATAACATTCACCCCCACCATTGTACTTCATAACATAGTGGAGGTGGGGCCCATTTAGTAATATCGAGCATGGGTTGGACATGCATATGAGTGGGACTGGATGGGTAGAATTAGGAGCTGCCTCGTATGGCCCAATAGGCCTTTTGCAGTCATCTGTGTTCTGATGTTCTTATATACGTATCCAAAAACCACGAACCAGCATCTCAGAGCGTGCTCCCAGTAGCGGCAATCCAGAACACCCCCAGTAGCTACGGGGTACGGACTGGAGAATGGAGAGGAGCGAAAGGCGAAGCACCCGAGAGAAAAGGACGCAGAACACCAGCACTTGTGCACACCGCCAACACCAAAACAAACTAACACAGCACATGCGCAGGCAGGGATGCCAGACTTGGGGTGCTGGAAGTCGCATGCTGAAGAAATAAAATCACGAATGTGACTATAAAACTAGACCAAATATTTTTGTTAATGATGGAATTCCATTGCAGAGTACACAGTCGGCTTATCTTAACAGTAGCCAAAAAGAGTAGTAAGTAGCAAAACATACATAGCTGGCTTTTCACTTGGGCTACATGTAGGCCAACCAGGCCACAAGGAGCCCAACCAGGCCACAAGGATCCCAATCTGGCAACCCAGCGCAGGACAGGAGGTCCAAACTGCACAACCCGCTCAGCGGGAAGGTGCCAACTAGAACTATTGAAAAACGAGGAGTGCCGAGACAGAGCACAGAGAGAAGATACAATCACAAAAGAACGAAACAGGACCGAAAACCAAAAAGAAGCACGGAAGAGGACCAACAAGCCCTAGAAAGGACTGGAGGGAAGCCACCAGAAGACGACAGTCGTTCCAATAATTCGGGACGCAGCGAAAACCTTCCTGAACCTTTGAGAATATATAGAAGCAAGCACAAGGCACATAAAGGCACAGTCTCACCCGAGACCAAAGGTCATGCAGAACCCCGAGAACAGGGGAACATGACAGAAGATTTATTCACCCTTTATTCACATTTATTCACCCTTCTTCTCAAGAAGAAGGGTGAATAAATGGAGAAAAGAACCCATCGACAGGACAGAAGCGATGGAGACAAGGAACCGAACCAGGGGAGGGGCCGACGCCCAACAACACGCACGGAGAAGGGAGGAAGAAAAACCCCATTCCCCGTAACTGCAAGCCCTGCTCAGAGTGTAGAAAACCCCGGCGGGGTCTAACGGGGCCCAAGACCCTCAAGTCAGCCCCTCTCCAGCCTCGGGAACCCACACGGTAGGCCCCGGGGTCGAGCCATACCCCCAAAGCCCCAGCTTCACAAGAAAAAGCTGGGGCAGCCAGAAAAGTACAAAGGAAGGAGTCCATTGGCAGACACATACAACATGGCTGGAGGAACAGGCTCGAATGCCTCCGTCGCCACCCCGGAAGGGGAATTCCCCGAGATCGCTCGAGTCTCAAGACCATCAAAGCCCCGCCCTGACCCCGAGCCCACAGACGATAAGGATGCAGGAAGGGGGGGGGGGGGGACAAACTAGACCACAACAGGGGAAAGACTAGGGGGGCACGGAAGGAAACAAAACCGAAGCAACCAACACCCCCAAGCCCCGTCACATCAACCAAAACAGGGCAGCCACAGGGCTCCACAAGCAACAAAACTTGTAGGACTTCAGGCCGAAGGTGCCACTGACCCCACAGGCAGCAGACGGAGGCAAAGACAGTGAGAATCACCCTGAGACAAGGGGACAGAGCAACCCTTGAACTTGCACAAAGCGAGGGGGGATTCCGGGGT